ATAAAATAATAATAATAATAGCTGCCTAATTAATATAACTTACTATTGATATTATTGCTGTTTTTATTAACAGCACAAAAAATCCCTTTTTCACTACCTGGTTGAAACTGGGAGATTTTGCTTTCATCTTCAAATGTTAACAGTTTTGTTTTGTACAAAAAAATTCATAAGTTTATAAAATATTGGTGCAATTATGGTCTTTTTAATATGATTTATCAACTTTAAAGTCAAAGCTCCAGAGCACTGCTATTTATGTGAACACATATATATATACATATATAAAATGTGATTGAAACAAGTACAGACCAATTTTTGAGTATTTATCAAAACTTCTTCACCTCAATTCCTGCTAGCTTAAGACTTACAACTAATACATATATCTATATGATTTTTATATACTTACATATGACAGTGAGCTTGGCATTCGCCCGTATTGCCGAGTTGAGGCGCGCTGGACCCACTTGGCATTGATATTCGGCATCATCATTGATCGAGGCATTGGAGATGCGCAGATTGTAGACACCCTGTTTGCGATCCCCCAGCACAGAGTAGCGCGGAAAGCCGGGTATTACGGCCGAGAAGCCGAGTGCAAAGCCATCCTTGGTCCATTGCACGGCGCCGGCGACATTGGCCACCTCGCAGCGCATCATCGCCTCGGCACCCTCCAGCACCTGCAGATCGTGGGGCGTGGTGCGAAACTTCTGCTGCTGCCCGTGGCAGCTCGAGGGCAACAGCAGCAGCACCAGCAGCACTGTAATGGAAAACAAGTAAAGAAGCAGATCACTTAGAGAGATGCTGGATTAATTGTCATGGCGGTTTTGTTATGCTTGGCTCGAGTCTTTGGCGACTCATTGGTTACGTGACTTTCTATGGCAGCTGAAAATTATGAATTGTGTATTTAGCCAGTCGGGCAAACAGAAAAACTGAAAAAAAAAAAAAAACAATGAAAGCCCGCCCGCAGTCCCATGGAGAGACAATGGGGCAATGAGCACAGAGACTTTTCCTAAATAGCAAATCCTGACCGCAATAACACAGGACGTAGGACATAGGACGCAGGACACTGGCCGCGCTGTCACTGAATGCCTTTACGGCCGCCAACGCCGCTAAGCTGCCGCAGAGTGTTGCAGTCAGAATCGGAATTGGAGCTGGAGTCGGAGCTGGAACTGGAGCAGGAGTCCGAGGCGAACTTTGACCGCTCTGAATGAAAAGTTTTTTAATGAAAAACAAACACACACAGATTTTTACCAGCCACAGCGCAGCGCACAAAAGCCAATTGTAGGCGTGGCTGGGCAGAAGGAGGCGCGTGGGGAGGCTGTCCGTTCAGTACCGGTGACTGTTTGCCAAGACTTATTGCGGACTGCATTCAGCGTCGCCAGCCAGGCAGCCAGGCAGCGAGCAGTTTATTTCTTGCCAGCCAAAACTATTAAATTGTGTAAAGGGGAGGAGGTGGTGCAGGAGCAGGAGCAGGAGCAGCCCTGAATCAACAAAAGCATTTAACGCGGCCATCAGGCAGCTACAGTTGTTTTAGTGCCCGGCGGAGGCCGTGCCGCAGCGCTCAGTGCACTTTAACCGTGGAGCGAAGCTTTCATAAATTTCAAACGAATCTGCGAGTAGGAGAAGCGAAGCAACAACAGGAATGCGCGCATATGGCCAGCAAAAAAGAATCCGAGAGAGATAAATAGAGAGAGAGAGAGAGAGAGAGAGAGAGAGAGAGGCAGAAGCTGTTTATTTATTAGCGTCGAAATGCAGTTTTAAATACCACGAGTCAAGCGAGACTGAAATGCTAAGTGAAAAAAAAGAGAGAGACTGGATATAAAGCAAAATGCTTTATTTGCGGTGTTAAAAGGCATTAAGTAGAGCTTGGCAGGGTAAGGCTACTCCGACTATAGTCCAACTATAGCTCAAATAGAGTAGCGCTTGAACAAAGTCTACCTGCAAACACCTCGCCAGGCTCGTTTACACAACATAGACAGAGCTTGTCGACCGCAAAAGGAGCAGCCATAAGAAAAGGGCCCAAGACAATGATTAATATGCTCACTATTTGCATAGACACGAAGTCTGCGCAGGAAACTGAAATGAATTTTAAATATAATATATTTTATATATG